CGTTAAAGCGAGACGAATTCGCCGTGAATCATCGTATCATTCGACAGAATATTGCGAGTGCCTCTTAAAGAAGAGCATGCTAACATAAAGTTCAATATACACGATACATGGTTTGATTAAATTTATACTTTTTGCATCATACGGTAATAAACAAAAAGGTTACAAGGTAATCATGCGGTGCCGTGAGGATAGGAGACATGGATGTGCCGTGAAAAAGATACATATATTACGATTAAGTAACGATATAAATACGAAAGAAACATTCGACACTGAGAATCGCAGGCATTAGTCTCACCGTTCAAGCGAGATTTCCAATCTACTCTCATTAGAGAAATCCAATCTCTATCTCGCATAAGATATTTTTCTTGCTCGATCTTCGATTGAGATTCTATTAAGTCCGTAGCCAATGTCCTAAGCGAACTCTCAATTCGCCAATCAGTTTTGCAACCGTATTTTGCAGATTTGTCTAACGACTTTGATCTCGAAGTTATCCGTTTTCGTAATGACGCAATATGTCACTTTAACGAGCAAACTTCGACATCAACAATTTCGAATTCATGGATTCATGAGACTAATAAATAAATATTCCGAAATAACAACAATAACAACAACGATCTTAATTATTAAAACGTACCTAGGACTCTCCATATCGGGAACTTGAAGGAAATTCGAACTCTTCGGCTTCTGCGGGCTAAGCAATGTCGGCGCTGGTCTTGCCAGTAATTCAGCAACTGGTACTTGCGGGCTTCCGAAGCCCGCTTGAATTCCGTATAACATTTCTTGAAACACTCTGTATAAAGACAAATACATACAAAGTATAAATTACAAAGTTCACGTTGCGTTGAACGTTAAAGCATTAAAAGAATTTTTTCTGTTCAACTAATTTTTTATATATCCGCTTAGCAAATATATCTTTTATTGTACATACGTATATTAACCGGTCGTAGCTACGCTTACTTATTTAAATATTTGTTAATTATTTCAAGCTTTATCGAAATGCGAACGAGATGAAAGAATACTAATTAAAAAATACTTATTTTATTTGAAATTAATAAATCAAAAGAGAAAAGTACTTTTTCTAGTTAATAAATTATTAAAAATCATCTTTCCACGCTAGACATGATCAAGCATAATCGTTTGAGTTTATTAGAAATTAATTTTCGAAAGAATTACGTCATGTATATTTATATTTCTCAAACTTTATACTGTTTCATGAAAAAATAAACAAACGCCATGCTCTCCTAATCTTTAAAAAAAATATTTTATTACCTGCTTCTTACTGCTAGAATTGCTCTAACGCCGATGAATCGGACTTTTTGTTTTTGCTGTCCCGGCACGAGGAAGGACACGTCGAAAAGACTGGCGTTTAGCGTCATATTCGCTGAATTATTAAGGAACACTCTAGTGAAGTCCTTTGCGAGTTGATCATAGTCTTCAAACTGATCTCGCACCGAGTCCAACAATGGTGATGATGGTCTCATGTGTCCAATCGGTCGCCAGGAACCTCGTCTAAAAATCAATAATCGGAAATTTAATCCTATCGATCGAGTACGTAATATTTGAGCAAACATTTTATGATCAACTAACATATATGCAATTAACATATTACACGCAGAGTTAATTAGATCAGTTATTTATTAAACACATTTAATATTAAAAATATTTTGTATACATTATAAATTATACAATAAATATGTATGTGAAACTGTCATATCATTTCATGGAAATTTATTAATTATTAACTTTATTTTCAATAATTCTGTGTGTGTGTGTGTGTGTGTGTGTATGTGTGTAATGCTGGACGATTTTCAAAAGTTCTATTTATTATAAAATATTTATTATACAATTTTTCATAAACTGTTCATAATTTTTTTATCAAAATATGAGTTTAGTAATTTGTAAATAAAACTCTCATATATATAATTAATAAATTTCCACAATGATACGCCAACACACTTCACATTCACA